TTTTTTTTTTTTTTTTTTTAAGGGGGGAAAATCATCGAATGACTGCCCCCGCCTGGGTGAGGCGGGAGGGAGTGTCAGACTCTTACTGACTAAAAACCACCCCGTTCCTTCTCCTGCACGTCGAGCCGGAGCCCCGGTTACCCGTTAGGTTCTCCGCGACTCCGAATCGGCATCGGCCCTATTGGGCCCCATCTGTGGTGGTCTGATGGCTCTTTGAGGCGCGCGCGGAACGCGACGCGCCGTACGCTCGGGTCTGTTTCTGGTCGGACGGGGAGCCACCCATGCTCGCCGTCCGCAGGCCCGCGCTTACGGTGGCCGGAGATCGTCCCGCGATCCCCGACGCCCGGTGTGTCCTTCGCGATGGCTGGGTTGCGAGGAGGCAGCGCTTCGCTGCCTCACGCGTCCCGCCTCCTCCTTAGCTAGCATGACTGCTTCGCAAAAGGAGGAGACGGCATCCCAATCCCCCTCACTCTTCGAAAACTCAGTCTACTATATGAAAATCTCAGTCTGGACTGAGTTATGAGCGTTGAAAGGAGCTGGTGTTAATCATTATACTTTGGTTTTTTTAATCATTTCATATTTTTGTCACAATTCCTAACTTCAAATTGCGCGTCACTGTACTCCGGCACAGAAACACCATATCACACCACAATATATCCATAGTCGCTAATTGTCATTAGCTATTTTCTCTCAGTCGATAACTTGTGGGATTCTTCTAAGAGTTGTTTCATGAAGCTTCATGAGTGTCAGCTGTGATACCAGTGGTGGGTTAAGTAGTGGTAGCAGTCCAAACACTAATATAGTAACAAACACTAAAATAATAAAGTTTTTTTTGCCGTTGACTCATGTTGGGAGGCTCATCTACTTTATAGTAAGCAAAGTCCACGATTAGCTTTATTATATTCCTTTAAATCGTTTATAAACATTTATTACAAAATATTTCTGACAAGCAAATTAAGAAATATGTGTTGTATACGGTCACCATCAACAAAATAACAGGAATAATACAGCACTACTTTCACATCTTTGAACTGATTTAACTCGGTTTGGACTGTGTTTATGATATGAGACCTCATATATATTTTTGTTTGTAATGTTATTCTGCACCATTTTTCCACATCCGATCAACTGTCGCGAAAAACCGAAAAGGCACCACGCTCCATACAAATTTGATCATTGTCATTTCACTTGCATGTAAATTAGAAATAAAATATAAATTTTGTGATGATGATGATGATGATACACTTACCTACGCTTTAATGTACTTGTTTGGGGTGTAACGTGGACTTTGCATTTTAAAATGGGATTGCAATTATGTAGATTTAAAAAAACTTGGTTTGTTTTAACTCGTTGTTTTATTAGCACTCATCGCCATAGATAATTACCATAGACAAAGAAAGTATTAAAACAATGTTCGTAGTGGACTGTATTATACTACTACTGTATTATATTCTTGTTAGTGTAATGATGATATTCTAACTAAACAGTACTATTTATTCTAACAGACTATAAACATATTAATATATTTGATTGCTGCGTTTGACTTTGGCAGCCACAGGAAATATTGAGTGGCGCATGGACAACGAGCTAGTGTTGTTACGCCATTACACTTCAAGGGAGACGCTCGGTCCCACTGTTACACCGTTATTAGCACAGGATGTTCTTCCTTTTGTCTTTCACTCAGTGAAATAAATAACTGTGCAGAGATGCGGTTGGCGACGGAGGCGGGCGCGGACGGGGGCGCGGTCGGGGGCGCG